GCTAAGCAAAGATGAAACAATGCAGCCTGGGACAGCAACGCTTCTTTTTTTGTTCTCCCATTAGTGCACTGCTGGTCACACTGGCCTTCCAATGAGGTCTTTGCCTTTGAAACAACTCCTGTTCTTTGTCAAGATGCCAGCTAATGCCATAACCTGTCCACATCAAAATCTGTTGCTCCCAGATTAAACTTCCAGAGACTGCAAGGTCAGGTGAAAAACAAGCAGCAGCTGAATTCTGAGCAACCAACACTCCTCCACAGCTGCCGTGCTATCCCAGGAACCACTCTGCTGTGCCAGCATCCCTGTGCAGAAAAAAAAGAAAAAAGCATGCAAAGCAAACCTGGGAAACAACAAGAAGAACATTGCTCCTTCAGTTAGGAGTGATTACAGATCACTAAAAAAAAAAAAAAAACAAAACAAAACAAAACAAAACAAAACCATCTAAAATCAATCCAGAATCCTTATTTAGGATCATTTCTTCAGACCATCACTTGAAAAATGTGACAAATTAATTCTTCAATTAAGTGCAAGTATCTTGAAATTTCTCTTACGGAATTTTTAGTAAGAATTTGATCCTTAACCTCAGCAAGATTATATTTAGATTTAAAGTACCAATAAAATATGTTTATGAGTTTCTCTTTGGCTTTCACTGCCTTTTTTTCCTCACTTTTCTCATTTGTTAACTGTCTTGTACCAACCCCTGATCTGAGCTCAGCCCGACTGATTAGCAGTGACAGCATGTCAGAGGTCATTACCATTAAGCACACCTCAGTGAACAATTTAATGGAGCTGTTATTCCACCAGTGGCAGCTCTCACAGTGGCGTTTAAGCAAAGCTCCAGATGAGGCTGAGCTAACCTGGAGGCTGGAGCACCCTCTGCTGTCAGCACCGCAGGCTCCGAGCCCAGCAGTCCTGCCGTCCGCCTTCCAGGTGCTCAGGCAGCAGCACGGTGCCACCAGAAAATGCTGCTGAAGGGACGAACAACTGAGCACCTCGAGCAAAGCTGGTGCTGTACCTCAGAGAAATGCACGGTTGTGAGAGAGAAAGAAGGGCAGGGAGAAGGGGGTACATCTTAAAACACACCCTCAGCAGACTGTAATCCATAGGCCTCCACTGTGTACAGAAGCACACTCCTGTTCACACAGCCTCATAAGCGCTACGGCCACCCACTCTGTGGCTGGGTCAGCAGCACTTAGCTCTCTGTCTCCCCATACACCCCTTGCTGCAAAGCAGGCCAATGCTGTAGGGATGATACCTGCCTGCTGCTGCTCAGTCTTTAATGGATCTCTGAATGGAGCTGCCTCCTCTATCAGGTTTTCAGTAAGCGCAGATGTACAGAGTGCAGGTAATTTAACATGAGGTACAGCACTGCAGCAGGGATTCCAGGTAACTTACAACAAATGAGCACAGCCCAATTTGGCCTTCTTTCACCTAAGTGTAATTGTAAATGCTCTTTCAGAGTTCTTCTGCAGCAAGCATAACCATTTCATACACATTCATGCAATGCTTCAAGTGCTCCTCAAAATCCCCAGCCTCTCCTTTATGACCCTGAAAGCAGTCATGGGAAAAGAGCCCCTCCTGTGCAAAGGGAACATCACACCGGGTGGCTCATGTGGAACAGAAGAAGCTGCAAGATGGGAAAGTGAATGAAAGCAGCCAAGCGAGGATTGCAGGGGATGCTACAACAGCACATATAAAAAATGCTTGAGGAAAAAAAGAAATCTATTACCTACTCCATACTGCAAAGGTAATCTCTGGTTGTTAAAAGTTTTTGAGAGAGAAAAGAGAAAAATACAGCTGCTTTAAAAATGACAACAGGACCCAATTTCAAACAATGGGGAATTCAGTCTATTAACCACCAAGTCAATCTATTTATTCACTTTGAAAAAATTATGGATCAGGAGAAAGTCTATTAAAAGTATACGAGGCTTCAGCTGCCACCTTCCTCACTGAGTAAGCAGTCAGAAGGTGCCCCTTTGAACTTTGCATTAATAACATTCTCATTAAATGCAAACCTGCACAATATTATCTTAAAGAGGCTCATTAGCTTCAAAAAAATTACTCATATCAAAAGTTCCTTACTTCCTCAGAGGTGAGAAGGTGAGTTTTCAGAGCCCTAATTGCCAGAGCTTCTCATTTCAGCTCCCTCTGTGCTACAGCCATATCTTGCAGTCCATCATATCTCAATTATTTATGTAAAGCAGAAACAGATAGAAGATTAAGCACAATTATGGTATAAGAGAGCAACACAGATCACTAATTCCAGTGTGGTATGCAAGATTTCAGCCAAACGAGGTTATTACTCTGTCTTCTTCACATTTCCATTTTCTTCAAGTTGCACAGAAATCATGAAGCACACCCAGAAAGACATGGAGATAACACAGGAATACCGCCCACCACTCTCAATAAGCAGAACATTGATGATTGCTCTTACTGGAGTGAGGACCAGAAAAATCAGGTAAGCGAACCAAAGCGTGACTTTGCACTGCGCTGGTGCAGCAAACAACAGGTAATCATTGCTTATAAAAACCTTCCAGAGCAACGGAACGTGCCGAGGAGAAGAAATCCAATGTGAGAAGGATTCACCTAAAGTCAGCCTTTGTGGTGAAGGCATCAAGTAAGAAACTGTATGCTAATCCCACCCTAGGAGGAAACCAAAGGGGCATAACCAAGAGGCCATTCAGTGAGAAGCTACATCAGGTTCAAACCTGCATGCCTTTAACGATGCATAAATAAATCTATGATAACATTGTCATGCGTTAACATGCTCTGTTTCTCCAACAAATCCATGAGCCTGACAGCCTTGTAGGGTTCATTCTTCTCAAGCATCCTCACTCCCTGTTTCTCTTGGCTGATTTGGGCTTGCAGCATCTTGGTGTGCAACACAGAGCCCTAAATGTGTGTGTGTGCACAGGGCTCCAGTGTGTGCTCCTGGCCCAGCTGCAGCAGAAGCACACAGCCTGGGTACAAAGTCTGCCTAAGGACACTGCTGCAGCCAACAGGCCAGGACAAAATGTTTTTCCCAACAGGGTGCAGAAAGCTTCAGACCTTGAAAGGCTTTAGGCATTCCTGGAGGAATTGTCTTCCGTTTTTCTGCTGCATGATCTGCAACTTTCAAACACCTGAATTCAGTCTTCAAGCGAAAAAGAAACATTGCATCATCACAAGCCCCTGATTTCATACATATTTTCCTTTTTTTCGTCTCCACACAAGTAGAGCACCTTTGAATTCCTTCATCTTCCAAGAACTGGCTGCTCTAAAATACACTCATTTAAAGAACCTTTTACATTTTTAATTATTTAACATGAGAAGTGAAAAATCAAGCAGTATTTTATTTTATTTTATTTCCTTAAGGGGTAGAGAGGTAGGAAAGGAGATAAGTCAAACAGGCTAACTTCTCTAAAGCCTAATTCCTCTCCAGGTCTCGAGTTATCTCTAATGAAGACCTTGCCTAATCTCCCTGACAAAATTAGTCACTTATGAAAGCATCAAAGGCAAGTGAAAGACCAGATGAAATTTTAATATCCATAAGTAGTGAGGCAGAGCAAAGGAGTCTACAAGAGAAAGATGTTAGAGGCTCCGCTGGTTCCAGGCAGCACCATGCACTGAGCATGTCTAAGGCAAGGTGTCCAGGGAGGGCTGCCACAACGCCAGTTTTTTGGGCTGTAACCCTCCTCAGTTACATGATGATCCTTACCAAACCAGCTGTGAAGCTGACAGTAAATCATAAAATCTTAGCTGCACAAAGCAGAGGTGAGTGCAAACCTTCCATGATCACTTGCTGGGCTGTTTTTTGTTGTTCTTACCATTTTATTTTTTAAATCTCTTCCCAGTTTAGACTTCTTTCCCCGTGTACGCAGAGAATTCCCATGGCAGATACTGTGTCACACTAAATGACATTACTTTGCCAACAGCTATCTGTTCTGCTGCTTCATTCAGGGTGCATTATCTGCCCACAAGCACTCATTTACGTCTGGTTACAAAAAAATAAAAATAAAGACTGGAAAAAAATAAATCACCCGGAAACACATGTGATGTTATTAAGCTTACAGACTTACTAGGGGAACCTTTAAGGTGGTTTATAGATGCTGACTGACTTGAAAGACGCCCTCAGAGAGCCTGCACTACACAACCTCTCTTGGAGTGAGGAAAATGACAAGCATTAACAACACAGCAGTACTAAGCTCCCTGGTGTTACACAGAAAGGCTGCACACCTCATGGAAAGATCATCTAGGAGATGAGAAGGCAGCGATGGGCAGATGCTTTCTGGTATAAATACTCATTTCTTTTCTGCTTTGTTTACAAGCCAGACTCAAAAGTACATTTTTTCTCTTTTCTCCATTTTCCAATCAATCAGATCTATGAGCCATTTGTCCCAGCACCCCACGCTCCAGCTTCATCACTACAAGTGGCTTCAGAAGATGCAAAATTAATGCTGCCACAGAGGAAAAGAGCACAAGAACACCTCAGATATTCCCTAGCCTTACAAGTAGAGCATAACTTCCACTTCTGAACGAAAAGGAGTTTTAAATAAATAGTAAAACGTCTCTGAGTGATCAGCTTTAAACATGCACAAAAATCCTGTAATTTTAAGAGAGGCTTAGAATCTGCTCATTACAGCTGCCTCATAGTCCCCTCTTCATACCTTCATGGAATTGCAATAGAATCACACAACAGAAATCCATTAGGACCACAATTGTCCTGACAGCGTAGCATTGTTCCCTACTGCATAACTTCTCCCAGGGATGCTGTGAGGATTAATTCATTATAGCTTACATTATGCTCTCAAGGTATTCAGTCTACAGAAGAGAATCATTAGGAAAAGGACAGTCAAAGTCTGGTGACCCTCTTTTATCCCAGTGGGCCCTGCTCAGAGCAGCAATTTTGCCCAACAAAGCAAACAAATTCAAAACCAGGTTCAATACAACAAATGTCATTATAAGAATGTAGTCACACAAGCCCAAAATCTCTAAAATGGTTATTAACTTCTACTCCTTACCTAATATTGACTAATGCATGTGTCACTTTGCTTGCAGGCTCTTTCCACTGACCAGCATTGGTAGAAATCCTGAGAACTGAAAGGAAAAGACAGTTAGTAATATTGGCCATTTTCTACTCCAAAACACCTAAAATCTGCTTTGGTGAGATGGCAACCTACAAATCGTATCAGAACAAAGGTCATCCTTGTGACCATCTGTACAGCAAAGCAGATTTTATTTATTTTCTTAAATAGGCTTTAAAGGAAATTAAGGAACACAGAAGAGGCATACAGCACACCAGGACACCTGGGAGGCAGGAAGGAGAGGGAACAGAGACTCCACCTTCCTGATTTATTTCATCACCACATATTAAAGTTGCTCTCACTCAGAAATAGGACAGCATCCCAAACCTGTGATACCTTTTATTTCACACACTGCTATTCTCCAACTCCTACTTATGTAAGGTACCACTTGAGCTACACCCTTTAATTTAAACCTAACCAAAGAGCAATGGGTTCTTTACTTCCATGTTTATCTTGAATCATAGAGAAAAATTACACACTAGCCTAGGGAAAAAAAACTCTCCCTGTAGGAATGAATGTGTTGCTCAGTTGCACAGATGGTCTCTGACAGACTTGGGAGCAGATATGAAAACATTCTGCAGGAGGAAGAACTTCAAGGGAATCAATTTTTTTTTTACTGCCAGAACACCCAAAATATTTACTTAGGTCAGAGCCTGCAGTGTTTCTATGGTGGCAGTTACCTGCACATCTTTTGTTAAGCACCAAAACAGTAAAACAGCAGCAAGTGTGGATCATTTTTCTGTTTACCTGAATAGAAATGAATTCACTATGAATTTATATACAAAGTTTTCTAGGGTTAGAAGTGACAGAATAGCACTTCATTCAAATATAGGATCATCTAGAAACACAAATGCAAGAAGTGAATCTGAAAGCACAGTGGCTGCACACTCATGCTTATTACTGCATAAGAGGAGCTCTCAGTCTTTGCACATCTGGATACAGTTGAGATTCACAAAAAGAAAAATAAGTTTTATATATAAATAAAAGCATTTCCCAATGTACAAAATTTCAACTACTTTCACAAAAAAAAAAAAAAAACCAACAAAAAACCAACAAACAACACCCTGAAGGATAGAGCTGATCTGTGCTAACAAATGTCCAAAGACTAAGGGATAGAAGGTTGCCTGTAGTCCCACTAAGAGCGTTAACAAAGCTAAGGGAAGCTGTTAGGCACCTGGCTAAACTGTGGCTTTCACCAGCTTAGACAGTGCTGTCTTCTCACTTTCCTCTGCTACAGTTTTGTGCCATGTGCAGAAAAAAGAAAAAAAAAAAAAACAACAAGATGTCAGCTCCAAATACTGATTTTGTCAAACAGAAGGTGCTGCACTTCAGTATCTGAAGTAACGCCTGAATGGAAACTCTGCATCCATCTCGGATGTTAATTCAAAGGAATTTGTTCTGTGTGTCAGGATGGAAAGTAGTCACATGATATGTGAAATGTCCACACGGGTCAGCTGTGCCTCTACAGCCCCACTGTATTTGAGGGCATTATTCTTCCATTTCGCTTTCCTTCAGCTTCCACAGGGGACCGGTTTGAAAATGCCACTGGCTGGTGAAACCACCTCATCTTACTAGCTGCAATTTTGTGAGCAGGAAATCAGCTAGCAAAAAATCTTTTGTGCTCAAAGAACAGAAATGGCCACCTGATCCCTTGTATAAAGGATGAAAATTGTAGGAAGTTTATACAAAAAGGCAGTTCATTTTGCTGGAAATTGCAGGGAGTATGTGGCCCCGTTTATTTTGGTGTGGACAACTGCCAAGCCAGAAGAATGCTGCAGCTAACTACCTCTGTCCCACTGCCCTTCGACTTCCCTTACATGCTTATAGTAACTCTTGTTGCTGGATGGGTGATCACAGTGAGAAAGGAGTAGAGACAGCATGGAAGAAAAGTCCTTCTAGAACAAAGCAAGCAAAAGAACACAGCTTTTTCTTCACAGCTTCAAGCAAGCAGGCACTACATCAGCCTTGCTGCAGCCACCTCTGGTTACTGGCTCCTCTGTACACACACAATGCCTGGTTTTGCCTCCAGGAACTCCTTGCTCTCCTTTGTTCCTCTTTTCCCTGCTGGATTTCACTTGGTGGCATTCCAGCATGTCTCTCTCCATCTGAAGGATGGCAGCCTCTCCCTGTTAAGCTAGCAAGCACATTCCTCAGTCCAGTGATTTACTTGCAAGCAGGTTTGTGAGGGCTGTATTCTTGGTTTATGTTGGCAATGACAGCAGTAGATGCAATTTGCCTAGCACAGCAAGCATCCTGTTAGAAGTTCCTCAAATTCTCTTCCAAATTCTTGCTTGCATTGAATACTTGTCTATGCTGGCTGTTTCTGCAGCATGTACTGACCTTCTTGAAGCTAACAGATGTGGCAGATGCATACTGTAAATCAATCCAACCACACAAAAATGTATGAAACACCTAATGCCATATATAAATTTGTTGGTTCAATTGGCACTCTTGAATCACAGTAAGCAGATGCTACAAAGGTAATGGGGCTGCATCTATTTTTTTTTTTCTGGCTAAAAATATTTATCCCCTCTAACAAATTTATCCTCTCATTTCTGAATTTACCAAACACACCAATAGATAAATTATATCCATTCAAGGAGAGAGGCATCAGCAGCAGGTGGACGGAAAACACCAGACAAACAACCCCCTCCATCACTCTCATTTCAACTCAGTAATATTGCCAACCATCCAGGAGGTACTCACCCATAGAATAAAGGTTGTCAAAATTCTGATGCATCCGAATGATTTCATAATACAGCTCATCATAGCTGCTGGGAGTGGGGAGGAAGGTGTCCCCGTAGGTGATGAACATGTTGAACAGGTTCACAACCTATACAAAGGAATGAAAAGAGGTTACAACAGGAATGTTTCCACAGAAGCTACACTGCTACAGGAATAAACAATACAGGCTATCTTCAAAACCTTTAAAGAAACAGCTCTTGGTTCCATTAGCCAGCATTACATTAGTTTGTTGCTCTATTGTCTTCCTTACAGTACAGAAGAAACACACAGGCAACTTTAACACTGTCATATTGATGGCCAGGAGAAGGGGTCTCTGGTGTCTTGTATACAAAGGGCAGGAAGAAAAAAAAAACCATTAGCAGATCTGGAGAATTACACTCCTTCCTCACACAGGTTTGTCGATTTCAGTGACAAGAGCCCCCAGTGACTCCAAGCACTGCCCTTTCTGGATACCTGGCAAAACCAACCAGTGATACTCCTCAGCTTTGTTGCCTTGTTCTAGTATCTCCTTCCCATGCTAGAAATCTCAAATTCTTTCCTAACATCCATTCAAAATTAAGTTATTTAAAAGAAGGGGATTTGCTTTGTCTGCACTCACCATAAGAGCAAGGGTGAAGATGTTGTGTTTAGCCAGCAACACGGTTTCATTAGACATGAGGAACTTCAACAAGTTGATCAAAGCTAGGAGGAAATATGTATTTTTTGAATAAAATTAAAAGCAAATTCATTCTCAGCAAGTCACTCAAATACAGATGCATTTTCATTATCCAGTACCAACTCACCTAAATGCAAGCTGCTCACTTTTCCTAAATTTAACAGCCTACACATGGAGTTGGTTGGGTATTTTCTTGCTAAAATTCTGGGCTGGGCAGGTAAGTGACAGCTATTTTAGTGTCCCCACATTTATTTTCCTTCACTGACTTCCTAATCAAATTCACTCAGGCTCAAGGTAAGTCACTTGTTAGCTCAGTCCACTTTTTGTTTTTTCTACCTGCCACATCTTCGAGTGAGCCTTAGAGCTGGAGAATCCGACCGTCTCCTTTCTGCTTCACACATCACCAACAAGATGTATGCAGTCAGCCTCAAACTGTCACTCCTGTTGATACACGCGATTTTAAAACGACAAAAAAATAACAAAAAGAACCCACAGCATTGCTTTTCTGTAGCTGCTGCAGCAGTACAAGGACGGATACAGCACTTTATTGTGTCAGCTATCTAGGGCTGTGCCGGGAAGCCTACAGATCTGGTTCGCACTTGTCTTGAGAAGGAAAACAAAGGCTCCTGCTGTAACCACCCAGTATCAGTTAGTGATAGCGGGAATTAACAAAAAGGCTGGCTAAAAGAGCTTTAATCACACAGACTTTACAATGAGCAACTGTGCTCTATACACCGGAGTGAAATGGAAATTTCTTCATCTTGTTGCTTCCTGTTCTTTAAAATTTCAAAAAGGAAAGCTACTCTCTTCTCCACGATATCTGCTCAGCACTGAAAGATGATTGTTAATGTATTCTCTGCTCCGCAGTCAACAGGTTTCTAGACCTGAAGTACCTGAATTAGATGACCTGCAAAGTCAAGCTGGAACGCTAAGGAGACTTCTTCATCTTGATTACCTACGAATTGGAGCAGCATCTACTGATTTCCTACAGTTAAAAGAGATTTTGCCTTTCCTACAGTTAAAAGACCTTTGCCTTTTCCAGTTTGTGGCAGCACTTCTACAAAACATTCTGCTGCTCACGGCTTGCAGCAGCCAGGAAAGAACATCAAAATACAAAATGCAAAAAGTTCAGCAGCCCCAGGAAGAGCTTGGGACATTTAGATATCTAGATTCTATCTTCAGCCATCAAACAACCAGAATCAATAGGACTCACAGAATTCACTATGGTTTGTGAGACTCAAGAAAGACAAGAGTGATAGAAAGCAAATTCTGCAAAGTTTGGATGCTGAAAGAGAAAGCTGACAGGTCAGTGAGACACAGCAAGGAGCAGATTTGAAACACAGCATTTGAGCTGGCAAAAGAAACTGACCACAGATTTATAAAGTTTAAACATAACTTCCAATTTCTAGTCAATATAGATTTGAAGATGGTAGTGACTACACCATCATTGTTCACCCAACTACTACACACTAGTGACTAGCCTGCAAGAAAACCAACCATAGCTTGAGAGAATCCTGCTGCAGATAAGAGAGCAGAGCCCTCAACTCAGCCCAAAGGTAAAGGCCATGGAATAGGAGTAGGTGAAGTCCAGGTAACAAGAATACTGGTAACTTTTGAGCCCCAGCACAGACTGCACAATGCCATCATCACCCCATCATTGGACACCTGCGACCAAAGGCAGAGCCTGGATCCCACAGCAACCCGGAGCTGGAGCCGCTCCTGTCAGGTACAGTGCTGCAAAACAACCATTTGAAAACACGGAAGAAGCAGGTAAAGACAGGCTCTCTGCTGGAGCGGAGATCCAGCTAAAAACAGGTTTCCAAGGTAACCAAAGCCTCCACAGCAAAAAGTGCAGCCTCCCGCAGTCGGTGCTTTGGGCTGCAGACAGCTGCCCTGCCTCTCTGGCACAGCACCTCGCGGGCCATTTCTCTCTTTAGTACCTATAAGCGCGATTTTACCTCTTTCCCAGCCATATGACTACATGCAACCACCTCTCCTGGCCCTGCGGGGCCATGCTTACAGCTGGGGTGCCTGGAAGCAGAGCAGCACAACTCTGGATTTTCCATAACAAGCAGCACAAAGCTTTGGATTTTTGTGCTATGCCTCTCCTGCTTTCTCCAGAATGCTGCAGAAAGGCCTCTGGCAGCAGGTGGCCACACAGCAGGAAGGGAAACCACTGAACATCGAATGCAGTGAACATGAAAGCTGCTCACGGTGAGGAGACACTACTTCTAAAAGAAAGCGTAACCATCACTGTATGGAGCAGAATGCACTGAGAAACAGGGAAAGCATCTGCTGCAATAACTTTGTTCACGTTTTCTCTTCCTGCTTCAGTTTGAAAGACGAGATATCACTGCTGCTTGAAATCAATCCTGGAACCTGAATTGCACCACATCGTAGCCCACTCACTGCTCCTTCCCTAAGGACAAGGTAGGGACTCTGCATGTGGAGAAGAACTCAATTCTAGGCTGAGCACTGATCAGATCCTCTAGGTCCACAGTCACTGTGGACACTGCACAGGTAAATACCCAACAGTTTGGGACCCTCACATTCCTAGAGAAGTTGTAGGGCTCTTAACGACATTGGTGCTCAAAGAACAACCAGTCTTCTGTGTCTGCACATTCTGCACCAGTCTCTCTCTGTTCAAGCTGCTCAAAGAAAGGAACAAAAACGCTGTGAACAGGAGTCCTTAAATCCATGACTACCTCTGTAGTCTCCGTAATGTGCTTGTTAAGGCAGACCCTGCACTGAAAACGAGGACAGCTGCACCCTGGAGTTTTCAGGATTAACAACCCTCAGATCCTGCTTCAGACGCCCAGAGCCCTTCAGAGACAATTACACACACCAAATAAACCCTTAGAGCAAAGGTCCAACTGGCCAAACGTCCCTCCATCCCTCAGCTCCAGCAGAGCACCAGCAGTGCCGCTCCTGAGCAAGCTGAAGCCAAACCAGATGTGTCACTTCTCCCCCGCCGCAATAAGCTGCGTGTCCAATCTGCAGGCTGCCCTCTCACGCTAGCCAGGAAATTATCCATGTTTGTTCCCAATGGAGCAGCAGTGCAGTTTCTCAGCTGTGCAGACAGACAGAACTGCAGCCCTTGCCTCAGCTCAGCCACACTATCCAAATTTGTGTTCTAGGATTTAACAGTGATGGATTTGAGCAAGAGATCTATTTCAACATGAACCGGAAAACAGATTTATTTATTTATTTTGCAATGCTCTGAAGTATCTTTATCTAAAGAAACCTGCCTTTAGCATCCCCTGCCAGGACACAATACACTTATTCTCAAAATCCCTAATTTTACATTGTAACAGTGTCACCGGAACTTCTTCAGCAACAAAAGCTGCAGCAGGCTGTAGCTACACCAACCTAGCAGCAGCTAGTATTTGCATGCAAACTTGTGACCTCTTCTGAGGACACTGGCTATGCTTCCCAGATCAGCCAGCAGAGAACAGAACCTTGAACACCTACATACACAGCCTCAAAAGGAAGTAGCTAAGCACACAGAGTGGACACTTAAATTGGGCATGAAGCCATATGATTGGCTGAACATCACAGCGGTGTAACTCACCCACATCGTGTTTTAAGCAGTTTTCCCTCCCAAGGATTATTATAGCCAAAGGATGAAAAATGAGATCACCAGCTTTTACAGACACCCTCCCAGCTTTTTAAACTGAAACGACTGCAGTGTAAAAGGTTCTTAGCTCCTCTGCCAGGCAGCTGAGTACTGACATTTTTCCTTATCAGCTCTTGCGGCCAGTCTGTCTGCTGGGCAGCGAGTGCTCAGTCATTTGTTGCCCTTCTGCAAGCCAATCCTCTGTAAGGAGGCTCCAGGCAAATGGCTTCTCTTCTTCCCTACTAGGAAGAAGGCAATTCTAGTTCTGGACAGGTGCACTTCAGTCTCTCCTTCCCCTATTCCTCCTCCCACAGCAGACTAACCTGTTTTGTCCCGTAAGCCCCATTTCAAACAGAAACAAATTCAGCTTTGGCATACCATAGGATTATCACAACGTTTTTGTTCTCCTCAGTGTCTCCGTGGATCATGTGTAACACAACAGGAGCTCGGGGACAGGCTAAGCAGAGAAAAGAGGAAGAAGTAGCATCGTCCCCTGAGAAAGTCAGAATGTAGCACAGACTGCCAGGAGCAGCAGCAGGCTCTGACGTGCCACTGCACAACAGAGCAGAAGAGAATAGCGCTGAGAAACACATCAGTGAGATCCTAGATGGGTTGAGCACAGTACGGAAGCCTCTATTGCTGTGCTCCCAGGTCAAAAACCTTCTAATGGTGCACATAACGGCCCTCAACAAAGGAACAAAGGAAGAAAAAGAAGCTGTGAGAGCCCCCCACAAGCTGCAGTGCAACATCAATTAATAGGTATCCTGTAACTCCACTAATATCCTCTAATTTCCTACCTTCAAAATCTTGGGGCATAGTAGGAAGAGCAGTGATTTTCCCATTTTCTCTGGAACTTACCATCGTACTATCAGCATATCTGATGTTCTGCTTTTAGCATTTCCACTCAGGTTCCCCTTAGGGTGATCCACATCCACATGGCACTGCAGGGGAGCTGATAATGACAACTGGCCAGAGGTTCCCTGCTACAGATCTGTCCCTTTGCATCTAAGTGGCTTGAAATCATTAAGCCATCACAAGCCCCAGCTGCACCAGGGCAGAGCAAAGGCTTAGTGTTCTGTCCCAAACAGTAGCCAACACCAAACGCCTGCTGAAGAGAAGGAAGCCAATCAATGCTTTCTCAGCATATTTTTTCAGATTCCAAAAATCAGCTCGACTCCCTTCATTCACATCTTTGGGCAACTACAGCATAAAGTATGGAAACAGACTCGCACAGCATGACAATACCACAATCGTGAATGGATCCAGTCTCCTATTCTAGACTGGAAATCATTAGAGCTAAGCCTGGATAATCACACGTTCAAATTGTTTTCTCTGTGCTGTTACAAGGAACAAAAGAGACCACGGGACAGAGTAATCACCTGTAATAAATGCCATATCTGATGAGAAATT